TAGTGGTGAACTTAACAACTGGTGAGAAAATTTCATTATAATCAACGCCCTCCTTCTGTGTGTAGCCTTTAGCCACTAACCTAGCTTTAAACCTTAGGGGTTCCAAACTGCTAGTTCCTTCCTTAACCTTAAAAACCCATTTGCAATCAACAATTGATTTGTTCTTAGGCCTAGGTACTAGCTCTCAAGTATGATTCTTTTCCAGAGAACTCATCTCTTCTTTCATTGCCTTAAGCCATTCATTAGATTGATCACTGCCTATTGCTTCTTCAAAAGTCTTTGGCTCTTTTTCAGCTAGTTCCTCATAACTAGACTGGGCAAAAGCTAATTCAGATTCAAAACCAAACCTTCTAGGTTCCCTCGACTGTCTCCTCTCTCTATCTCTAACTAAGTTATAGTTAGCTAAGGGGTTCTCTTCCTCATAGTGTTCTTCTGTCACTATTTCGTTACTATTTTCAACTTCGGGTTCCTGAGTTTGAGTCTCCACCTCATTTGAGACAGTAGGGGCAGGTGGACTGAGTTTTTCTAACTCCACCTTAAATTGGTCTCTCTCTTCACCCGATTCCACTTCACTTTCGGGTTCAGTTTTCCCTTTAATACACGGCATTTCTTTTTCGTTAAACGTGACATCTCTACTTATGATGATCTTAACTCCGTTTTGGCTTTTATCCCATAATCTATAACCCTTAACACCTTCGGGGTATCCTAAGAAAACACACTTCCTAGCTCTAGGTTCCAGCTTACCCTCACTTTGATGAGAAAAAGCTGTACAGCCAAATGTTCTAAGTATCGAGTAATCACTCAGTTTACCAGACCATCTCTCATGTGGAGTATCACCATTCAATGCAGCAGAGGGTGTAAGATTAATCAAATAGCAAGCTGTCATAACAGCCTCACCCCAAAATGACTTGGGAACACCCGAACTAATCATCATGCAACATATTTTGAATATAAAGTGCAAAATTGTAGATTTGGCGAAGGAAAAACAAATTTAGCATTCATATTAGGTTAGGTTCCTCAAACAGAAAGAATTGATTATGGTAATATTCATACAATTACATCTCACATTTAAGCCCCATTTTGTTGAAAAAATAGATTTTGTAATAGTGATTTTTTTGGAGAACATGTGATTTAAAAGTTAAAAAAAAAAAAGTTTTGGATTTACGTGTAAATTATTTTATAGAGAAAATGTGCAGTTGAAAATAAGTTTGGAGAAAAATGTGTCATCAATTGTATGATTTTTCAAATAGTACATAAAATTTCAAACTGATATTCTAAATGCCATTTTTCCAGAGAGTGTCTATTGATTCAAACAGGGATTATACTGAATCTGGCTTTTTGAAGGAAAATAATTTTCTTTCTCAATAAATTTAGAGTCAGTTTGATGGCTTCGAAGCATCGCTGGAAGGGATCCATGAAGTCCATTAGGAGTCATCTTGATCCGCAGAAGGAAGAACAATTGAAAGGTGGAAAAAAAGGTAAATATTTCGCTCTAGAAAAAAAAAATACTGAATCTAATAAACGGAACAGATTCGTAAAAAAGGATATTTTCATAATATACATTGTGTTTTCTAGTGAGTTGTTGCTATAAGTAACACAATCTAGTATGGTAAGAATAAAAAATGTAGGACCGAATTCCACAGCCAATCAGTGCAAAACCGGGCTCAGTTTACCAAAAACATCGACATCATTTCTTGAGACAACTCCAATACCACCTTGTGCCACCACGGTCCGGTTGCTATGGATATGGGAAGAAGAAGGCCAAGAAAATACCCACAATATATCAACCACAAAGGTCACAGAGAGGGAGGGAAGAAACGGCCGAGAGAGAGGGAAGCTCACAAAGAGGGTTTTTTCACTCTAAATGGAGGCCGAGAGGTTGAGAGGAATATATGCCAAGAGTATTGTCCAAACAAGGTAAGTTACAATTAGGGCTAAGTGGTGGATCAAAGGCTCGACTCAAATAATTGGGCCTCAACAATAATAACATAGCCTTCCAAGGAATGGTGCGAGAACCGTGAGCAACACTATAAAATAGGTTACTTCGAACGGTCCATAACAAA